GTGAAAATAGTTTCCCCTTCTCACAGATTCACTATTAGCAGTTTCAAGCACCAAGCTTTGAGAAACTACAGCAGTGGCTTCAGGATTTTTTTTTTTAAGTGATGGATGGTCTGTAAGATTTTCCTTCCAGAGATTGATTCAGTAGGTAGTACCAGGAACCCAGAATGTTCTCCCATCCAGGAGGCTCTGAGATGAGGTTAGGCTTAGACCCCATCAGGCTAATCTGGCTCTAAGGATCTCGTGGGCCTTTCTGCAAAAGAGACCCCTAACCTGGGCTCCGGACCAGATCTTGGGTGGGCACTGGCTGAGCTGGCCTTGTAATGCTGTTTATTATATGCCAGGCTGAGTCTACGACCATTCCACCCTGAATGTGCCCAATCTCATCCTTGTATGCCAGGCTGATAAAACGTTTCCAAATTTTTACACATTTAATTCTGTTCCCTAAATTCCAGCCATCTAACCCAGGAGACTTTTTCTCCTCTGCATCTAACAGATCCGTCAGCTGTTGAACTCAGAGTTGAGCTGTGGGCATTTTGGTATCACCTTGTTGGCTGCTCTTTGCCTACACATTGGGCTTTTCCAAGTGTCCTGAGAATGTGAGATCTGTGGGTTGAGGCAGTGAAGGCTCCATGAAAATAGCAGGTCTTGCTCCTCATTCATCCCACAAATGATCTGAGGACTGACCATGTGCTCATGGTAAGGCACTGGCAACAGAGTAATAACCAAAGCATTTCTTGTTGGAATGCAGTCAGTCCTAGGGGAATGAAATAGACAACAAAAAAACAAGCAAGCTGGATATCCAAGTGTGGAATTCAAGAAAAAGGTCCAGGCTGGAAATAGAAATGAGTGTAATTGGCACAGAGATGAAACTTAAAGCCATGAAACCAGGAAGCTTCCCCCAAGGGAGTGTCCTAGAAGGAAAAAGGTCAAAGAATCCAGTCCTGGAGCAACTGTTCATGAAGCCACAGGGAGATGAGGAAGATTTGGCAAAGGAGAGTGGGAAGCAATGGCCAGAAATGAAGAGAAGCAGAAGAGTGTGGTGTTTCTGTGTTTAGGCTTTTGTCCCCTTTGTTCTGGTCAGCAGCAACTAACTAGGTTTTGAATTGATGGGTGACACATCCATTAAGTCAGGGTATCTGGGACAGTCTAAGAAAATCTCAGAGGAAGGATTATTAATTTAGGCCCTACAGGATGAGTAGGAATGGGGTAAGAATGGAAAAGGCTATTGCAAGAGAAGGAGAATGTACGAGCAAAGATCTGGAATCAGGAATAGTTCATTTGGAGGAGGTATGAAGAGTGGAGAGAGCGGAGAGGGAGGTTTTTGGGAAAGGTGAGTGTGGCTAAATTCAAGGGCCTGAAAAAGGAGTTTGGACTTTGCTTAAATGGGGATAAAATATTGGATGCTCCAAGCCAGTGACTCTCAATCCAGCATGACTTCATTCCTCACTACCCCCCACCCTGCCCCCAGGACATTTGGTATCTGGAGATATCTGTTATTGTCACTATGAGGTAGGGTGCTATTGGTATCTAAGGGGTAGAGACCAAGGGATCTTTTTAAAATAGCGTACAGTGCACAGGATAGCCCCTGCCCAAAGAATTATCCAGCCAAAAATGTCACTGGTGCTGAGGCTGAGAACACTGCCCTAAAATGCACTTTAATGAACCCCTCGTATTTTAGCAGTAGGCACAGGCAGCTGTGTTTGTTGGTGGCTTTGATGTTTTAGGGTTTAAACAATAAGATGCTATTTCTTCCTCAGGTCTCCTCTCTTTTTTATTGTAGGTATTAAAGTAGAAAAGAATTTCAGCATCATATTTCATATATACTAGGTGAGGGGAGGGCGTTAGTATGTTTTCTTCTAGCTTAATTTCTAAGATTCCATCTTACTACCTCACCTTTCTCTTACGTCACCAATGTCTGTTATGTCTGTTATGTCCAAAATCACTAAACAATGCAATATAGTTGTATGTCCCTTAATGTGTTCATAATATGATTACCTCATTAGAACAGATGGTTCAGAGCCAAGATACTAGCCAAGATACTAGATATAAGACACAAGATACTAGAAAATTTTCCATTTTCTCCAAAGTGAGAGAGAAAGTGCTAGGCAGAGTATGCAGTATACACTTTTGTTTAAAAGACAGCAACATGCAAAAGCCAAGTGTTTGCTTCACAGCTACAAATATTGAAACAAAGAGAGGCAATATAGAATGCAATAATTCTCACTTCCAGAGTGAGGATTAGGAACTACAGAGAGAACTCGGGTTTGTCAAGAATAAAAGTGGGTAATGTCCCTCCAAGAAGTGACACCATGTCTTTTTTCCAGTGCTATATGTTCCACATGTATGTTGGAGTTCGTGCTGGAGGAGGGATCGGGGATGAAATCGAAGACCCAGCAGGAGATGAATATGAGATCTATCGAATCATCTTTGACATCACTTTCTTCTTCTTTGTTATTGTCATTCTCTTGGCCATAATACAAGGTAAGTGTCATCCTCGCTGAAGCTGATAACATCTAGAATTTGAGCCACATATTGCTGAAGTTAATATTCGAGGTAGGGTAATAACATCAAGTGTTTCCTGGCAAAGCCAAATCAAACTTTTCCTTTCAGTATTTCTTCATCATGCAGTCTACAGGGGGAAAGGTAAAGCGGCATGGAACCCTGGTATGAATGGAAGATACAGTGTTATTTTGTCTTCTTTCAAAATAACATAATGGAAAGGGCACTTTCCTTGGTTTGATTCACACCTCTGGGTTTCATACTCATGAACCCCAGCTTTACAGTCTTGGGTGGATGAGCCATATAACCCTTTAAACTTCTAAGCCAGCTGGGTGCGGTGGCTCATGCCTATAATCCAAGGACTTTGGGAGGCTGAGGCAGGTGGATCATTTGAGGTCAGGA